GCAGAAAACACACACACACACACACACACACACACACACACACACACACACACACACACACGGAGACACTGGGACCTGAAAGAGGGAATCCACACCCTAGGGACTCGGAGAAGGAAGGCATCCCTAAGGGCAAGGCCCGCGCTGGGGGTTGAAGGTTCTGTAGGAGTTTTCCAGGCAGTGTGGGAACCTTGTGCCAAAGTACAGGAAAATGGGAGAGGTATGAGGCTCTCACAGGGGGAAGGTGTGGCAACAGGGCAGGTGAAGGAGCTGGAGGAGGGAGAGAGGAGAGGCTGAAGCTGCAGGGTGGGTGTCTTTGGTGTTCCATCTCACGGTATTGGGATCAAGTCATTATGCGATTTCAAAAGCTCTGTGCGCTCCAAAAGCACTCTCTGGCATCGTGCCTGGAGCACATCAACACGGTGCCACAGGAGCCCCGGCCGGCCGGGGTCATTGCAAAGAGCCGGGGAGCAGGCTTTGTGACCAGCTCGGTCTGACCTGTGGTTCTCCTCGCTGTAAGAGGCCCGGGCAGGAGATGGGGCGGTGTGTTCGGCACTCACCAGCAAAGAGCATCCTCCCTGAGAGCATCTCGGCCAGGATGCAGCCGGCAGCCCACATGTCGATGGCTTTGGTGTAGTTGTTAGGGGAGAGGAGCAGGCGCGGTGAGCGGTACCACTTGGTCACCAGCCCTTCTGACAGGTAACCCTGAAAGAGAAAACACCCCATTTCCAAGTGTCCCTCATTTGCAGACGCCACACCAGCCTCTCTGCCGGAGGAAGGGGAGGCTTTCTGCTCCCGTGAAGAGTTACAGTCTGGGGAACCCAGAGCAGCCCCACCTGCCCCATTGGGCCACTAGGAGTCTGCATTGACTTGAGGTGGGCACTGAGCTGGAGTTTTCCATCACAGATGGAATTGTGTGCCCCCCAAAGATATGTAGAACCCCTCTTCTCACTTGTGTACTGTGAATGGGACCCTTACCCCGTAGACTCTATCTTTCATTAGAGTGGACCCAAGTGGGGTGGCTTATAACAAGGAGAAACAAAGAGACACATACCCAGGGTGCAAAGGTCATAGCCAGGACTGCCAAGGCCGGCCCAGGTGTGCCTGGAGCTGCCGATGGAGACAGGCCTTCACCTAGACCCAGTGCCCTGATTTGGATTTTTGGCTTCCCCAAACCCTGAAACAATCCGTTTCTCTTCCTTAAAGTCACACCTGTTGTATTTTGTCACGGCAGCCCTGCTGTGGTAGTTAACCGCCACTGAGTCTGTTCGCACCCACAGCACCCGTGTACACCACAGAACCAAACACCGTCCGGTCCTGCGCCACCCTCACTGCTGTTCCTGTGCCTAAGCCCATGATGCAGCCTCTGTGTCCATCCATCTCGTCCGGGTCTCCCTCACTTTACTCTACCAAGCCTGACGTCCTCCGGGGACCGGTCTCTCCTGACGGCATGTCCAAAGGATGTCAGCAGAAGCCTTGCCATCTTGCCTCTCAGGAGCACTCTGGCCATACTTCTTCCAAGGCGGGCTGGTTTGTCCTTTTAGCAGTCCACAGTATTTCAATACTCAGCGCTAGGGGCAGCCCCAGGGCACTCACAAGGAGCTCTGATGTTGCAGTGGGTGACGAATTGGAAGAGCGGCAGTTCAAACCCACCAGCTGCTCTCTGGGAAGAAGGCCAGGCTGTCTGCTCCTATAAAGACCTACAGCCTTGAAAACCCACAGGGACAGTTGTGCTTTGTCCTCTAGCTGGAGGTGGGGACCGTCTTGATGCTCGTGAGGTTTGGAGGGGACAAAGGTTGTCTTTCCCTTCCTCCCTCCAACCCACTCCTCACCCCGTTTCCCTCACAGGGTGACAGGACCCCCTTTATGCTCATTCTTTCCTGTGGGTCTCGAAGGAGCCTTAGTCAAGAGAGGTGTGGCTATAGGGGCTGGGGTCGAGTTTGGTGAGGGTCTTACTAAGCCCTGGAGCTCTCCTTTGTAGCATAGAGAGCTATAGATATAGGCCATCGATATGGCAAAAGGAAAGATATCCTACCTTGACTCCCTATAACGATGTGTGTCACGTACATCTGGACTCAGCAGAAGATGGACAAAAGGCAGTTCATTACCACCGTCATCAGTGACTGAATCTCAGAAATAGCGACACACTTGGAATCCAGCGCTGGGTATTACTAGTTGCTTTGGCGACGGTCATTAGAATGACTGTGTCTCTGAAGCCAGCCATCAGGCCCCTGTTGAGGACAAAGAAGTCCATCTGCCCCGGCGGGGTAGGTAAACGGAGCCCCAAACAGCAGAGATGGGTCCGTGACGGCTGGTCCAGAGGAGAGGTGCTTGACATCATTCGCTTTGGGGGAAGTAGACGTTTCCGCTGAGTCCAGCCACTGCTCGGTGATTTGTGGTCTGGGATGGAGTCCCTTGTGCCAGCCTCGAGTGAGGACAGGGGCGTTTCAGTGGTGAGGACCATGCATCGAGGCCCCGTTTTCTATGACATCCAGAAAGCCGGCTCCACAGCGCCACCTGGAAGGCATCCTTCTGTAATGCCTTCAGCAAGCAGCCTCTCTCAAGTGAGTAAACAGACCAGTGTGGGGTGAAGGTGGGCTGGCCCGACATGAGATGCCCCGGATGCTGGACGCAGTCGTTCCTAGCTTAGCCTCTGGCTTTCCTCTCTACGGATGTAAAAAGGCATCACCACAACAAACAACAAACAAACTAACCCCCGGAGAACCCTAACTCCCAAGATGCTTTTGGCCAAGGAGTCTGGACTCCTCCGTTTGCTGGACGGGTTCTAGCACAGCGACAGTCCAGTCGTGAGGACGGCGCAGGACCAGCTGCTTCCCTCCTGGTGTTGAGTGGGAGCTGGATTCCCCACACCTAACAGCAATGATGCTGATGACGAACCCCCTGGGAGCCCAGCCCTGTTGAGGATGGCCCCTTTCTCCAAGTTGTAGTCCATCCCTCTTCTGGGCAGGACCTCAGCTGGCACCAGGATGGAAGGGAAACACACCGTGGCTGAAAATGACCATGGTCGACCTAGGTCTCTAGCCGGGCCCTCACTGCTCCAGCCCCAGCTAACTCCTTCCTATGTGTTCAGCAGGGGCCCCCTTTGTCTTTCCTTTGGGCCATTTCAGGTAGACATTCCAATGGTGGAGGGCCACCACATCCACGGCCCAGCTACGTCACCTCCTCTGGGCAGGCTGGACTCCTGGGATGGGTTTAGAGGCTGTCCATGGTTCCTCATGCTCTTGAATTGGCATGGCTGCTTCTTCACTATTCGGCACTGCGCTCACCCGTCCCCACCCCCTCATTCGATGATAAGCCCCTACAGAGCAACCGCTGAATCTCCTCCACCCTATTTGCACCCTGTCCGGCCCTCAGCTGCCTCCCAGGAGGAGTTCAAGGAACACAGCTGCGTAAACGAAGGGCTGAATGAGTCAGAAGCATCTCAAATGGCCTGACCCTCCTTCCGAACCCTCCTCCCTCCTTCTGCAGGGGCATTGACACTCTTCTTTGACACCTTTGACTGGATGGCAAATTCTAATTCTCGCTTTCAAAAGTGGGAGAGGCATTCATGGTCTCCGAGGGATTGGCAAATGGGATTTTTCGGGTTTCCTCTATATAAACCAGGGTTTGCTGTATCATTGCCACCCAGTGCAACCCATCCCCTTTGACCGTACACTTCTATGAGCTTGGACAGACGTGCAGAATTGTGTCCACAACCTCACCCTCAAGATTCATGAAAAATTCGATCAATTCCCTTTGTAGGCAATGCCCGCCTGTCCCCGAGCACCCTCTGATCTGTTCTTGGGCCCTCCTCTAGTTTGGCCATTTCTAGAGTGTTGCTCAGTCAGAATGGACTTGGTGGCTGGGAGGGTCTCACGTAAATGGAAGGGCAGTGTGTTGTTTTCAAGGCTGACTTCCTTCACCTGGCAAGATGCATGTGAGCCTCGTCCAGGTGGCTGGGTGGACAGTAGTTGGTTAAGCGTTTATGTTTGGTTCTTAAAAGAAACTTAGAGGTATGCCAAGCCGGCTGCAGAAGTTCACACCCCAGTGGCTTCGCTAGAAATCATGGCAGAAAAATAAAGAAAAATCCAGGAAGGGGTGAGATGGTCAGAAAAAGCCTTGAGCAAAGCGAACCCCAAAGGCAGGTGTCAGAGCGGAGTTTTCTTGGATAAACACGTGGACAGTCTTTTATGAAACAGAATCTAAACAACCACATCACAGCCATCGAGTCGGCCTTGACCATAGTGACCCCCACAGGACAGGGTACAACTGCGCCTGGGAATTTCAGGAGTAGAAATCCCAGTCTTTCTCTCTTGGGGCTGCTGGTGGTTTCGAAGTACGGACCATGTGGATTGCAGCCCAATGCGTAACTCCTACTCCACCAGGGCTCCTTTTATGGCTTGGTGATCCGCTCCATGGAGAGTCCAGTCCAGGACACGATGGGGGCCAGTTCTAGTCTGTCACCTACGGTCCCTGTGAGTCTGAGTTAAAGGGATCAAAAGGGCTCTGCTGATGTGTTTCAGGAGTTCACAGGAGGTTTGACTCACAGAAGCCCCAGGGGGAGGGGAGCTAGGACCCAAAGGAGCCCTCATCCTTGTGTCTGTGTGGCCCTGTCTTCAGCTGAGATGAGTCTTGAATGTCTGAGTGGGAGACCTGCTGGGGGACACACAGGAAACTAAGGATCTGAAAACGAAACTGAATTCAAGAGAGATGTTTTAGTTGAATGGAGAAGTCAAAAGCCAAAACTTTTTAGAATGGAAAAAAAAAAAATCTTCCCAGAATCCCCCCAAGTGGAGACTCAATGTTATCAGAACGGCTCAAAACCAATAAGCATATTGACCCAAAGGCAATCTTCAAATGGCCTTTCTGCCTGAGCCTGCAGGACGAGGGCAGTTGCACAATGAACAGGGGACAGTCGACGAGATGTGAACTCACGATGTATCACATCTGGTCAACGGGTTAGGTGTGGGGAGTGGGCTTATTTATCTTCAGCTGAACAGTAGGGCCTGGGGGGGGGCACCCCTGAGCCCATGCATTCAGGACTCATAGGCCAGCCAGGTTCTGTGTGTCAGTGTGGAGCATCTAGACTCTGAGGAGCCTGCAATCCCTGGAGGCCACTGGTCAGCACTCAAGAGGTAGGACTGGAGCTGCCTCCTCCCAGTTGTCCCCTCCTTCCAGCTCCCTTGGTGCCCGAGGCAGTGAAGCTGGCTCTTGAGGGGCCACCAGGAGGCAGCAGGATATGGTTTCCAGCTACTGCTCCCGGGCTGGTTCCCAGCGGGCCACCCTGCCAACCTTCGGTCAGGGAGAGCCAAAGGGCGCCTTTGGCTCAGAAAGTGTGAGAGGTGTTTGGGAAATAATCGAGCAGCAGCTGTCGATGAAAAGGATAATTAGGGGCCCCCAACTGACGCAGAGGGAAGGTATCCTTAAAGTGCTGCTGGAGCTTTGCAGGCGGCACAAGGACAAGGCACCGTCCCAGCTGCAGCTGGGCAATTCAGAACCACCTCCACCAGGCTGGCTGTAGAAGGTGGCACCGGCTTTGTTCCGGAGCCACGCCTCTGTGCCTGCCCCCTCAACACCACCTGTCCTTCCCCAGGTCCCTTGCCCCCAGTCTGATCACATGCATCTGGGAGACAGGAGGGGCAAGGTTGCAGGGATGGGGGTGGGCAAGCGTGATCTCATAGACCATTTACTCTCCCCCTCTGATG